GACGTTAAATTTCACAGGTACACTCGTTTTTTATATAAGAATATTATTTTCTCCGGATCAGGCTGAAGATGCTTATTTTCATTCCGATTTTAGGCTGAAACTATTTAAAAATGTACAAAAATGAAAATATACATATGTGCCCCGAAATCGCTGTCGCTGGAACCTTTACATATCCTGCCTCCAATTTCACACCAAGCCACGACTGGAATATCTTATCTTTTAGAAAAATACGTTTGTGTCTCTTAAACCAATCTTTTTTACACTGCTTCAGATCCGAAATGGTCCTCTTAAGACCCGAATTTGACCTTTTACCACCATGGCCGGCTCCATAACTTGTGGCCACCATCTTGTTTTTTTGCCAGGTCAATCTTCAAAAATTCTGCAGAATTTTTTCAAACGTTGCGCTTCGACTCGCAGGTGCGCAGTTCATGAGATTTACCGCTTAAAAGGTAAATCAACGAATAATACTTTTGCAAAACATGGCGATAAAACTAGGTCGCCATGATAACGTCAATGTTAACGTACACGCCACGACGACTACATGCTCCCGGATAGATTTAAGAAAAAGTCGGTTAGTCAGCCTTTACAACGAATCTTTTAAAAAAATCATTTTGTTTTCACCCAAGAATATCCATTTTTATTTTTTTCCGTTCACAGTGGGCATAATTAGGGAGCTTAAGCAACGAAGACGGCGACGTCAACGGCAAAAAAGCAATAGGTTTAAATTGGCAAAACAACAACGTTGCTCGTGCATCACGCTTTTTTGCTTTGCTTTTTTGTGCCGTCACTGCACGACTACGAGGTGAAAATTCCTATTTTCACGTTTTGTGGAGGACGTGAACACAAGACAACGACTCTCTTTTTCTTTTCCTGTAACTCGATACACTGCTTTAGAATTCAACTCCAGAAAAAAATTCCAACATTAATTAAACGAATTGAACGAGATGGAATAAGTGGCATGTGATTAAAAGACACGTTTTTGTAACCGTCGTCGTCGTTGTTGCTCAAACTAGGATCCCTAAAACGGCATCCTAGGAACTACTTTTGCATTTTTTATTAGTTTTAGTTCAAAGTTTGTCGGATGGTAGAACTTTATATGCCAACCGTTTTTTAGCTTTTTTGTTTTCTGATTTTATTGGTTTCTGGCGGGAAAATGACGTCAGAAGTTTATCGGCAAAATTTAAATTTCAACTGATGATGTAACAAATAAATGATTGATAGAACAAAATGTGAAAAATTTGAAAAGGTCAATTGGTTAAAGAAACATTAAGCTTTGATTTTGTTACTATTTTCAGAAACATAAGCACATTTCAAGATGCTATATCTGAAGCAATTGAGACCACATTTGGTTCTGTCACATTACACCCTTTCAAAATTATTTAAATATTTGTTTTGCCTTAACTTGAAATTATAAATTTTGCTGTAAATCAGATGATGACATTTTTCTTTCAAAAACCGTTGAAATCTAAAAAAAAAAATTAGACAGTTGTTTCAAATACAAAATTCTACCATCCAGCAAACTTAAAAGGTAATTTCCAGGGGGGGGGGGGGGGGGGGGGGGGTGTGTCTCTTATTACTAAAATCCGAGAAGAACGCGATGCAACTACTCCCATACTCTCATCACCTGATCCCGTCATCTGTTTTTATAAAAAACACAGGTCATTCAATTATACTGTTAATAAGTTAGATGAGTCACACATGATGCCAT